AAAATGGGTTGGTGCTGTCGGACCTGTACGGGCAAATTAAAACCCTGGTTGTAAAATATTCTTCGTTAATACTCAGTCAATTGAATTGAAATGGGTGGATTATGAAGGTCGATTATAATAAGAATATTTATTAAATGAGATGTTTAACTATTAGTAATTCTTATTGAATAATATCAAAGTTGTGTAAAATGGGAGTAAAATTTCTTGTCATATATTTGCTTTCAAATACATTTTGTTGAGTGTGTTCAGCAGATAATATTAGTCGGAATATTGCAGTTTTAAATTAGCCTTTTGATGTTTGTTGTGTCGGCATATATCCATCAAAATTCATACAATCTTTAAAATCTTCTTAAATACTGTACATTATGTAAAATTTTTCACAGGGTGCACCCCCTTCCTGTAAATTATTAGGACCAATGCACAGGCACTTGACGCTTTAAACCTTTCTCTTCAATGATAAGAATATCATCATATTATAATGATATTATGGTATGGGATGGACATTATGTGATGAATGAAGTGATTATACCGGTTTCTGGGTCACTGTATAAATGTATATATCGAATTGTGGGATAACTATATTCACTATACCTGTTTGTGGGTCACTGTGCATATGTATATATAAATATATTGTGGGATAAATAAAGTGATTATATGCCACTCTGAGGTTCACTATTTTTAAATATGCATAAAAACTATTGGATACGTAAGCATATATATAGATTAAATATATCTTGTTAAAAATCTCATAATATAAGGTTGATAAGCAGCTCTGTGTTGAAGAAATAAATAATACATTTTGGGATGGACATTATGTGATTAATTTAGCAATCATACCGGTTTGTGGGTCACTATATGTATATTACGAATTGTTGGATAAACAGGCGATTACATGAAATATATTGTGAATATCTAATAATATTAATTTGATAACTTGTATGTTGAATAAAGAACAAAATATGTTATGGATTGGCCATTAAGGGATTTAAACGCGATGATTATACTTGTTTTTGGTTAAATAATAATTACATTTAAAAGAAATTCTGAGATAAGGAGGCGTTTAGATAAAATATCTTGTTAAGAATCAAATAAATTCGGCTGATAAGTTGCATAATGAATAAATAATAAATACACTTTCGAGTTGGACATTATGGGATCAATGTATAGTGCATTCTAATACCTGTTTGTGGGTCACTATATACATGATTTACATGTATATGAGAAATTGTTTGAAAAGTAAGCGATTGCAAGAAAAGTGTAACATGCAAGAGTGTCATAATATAAGGCTAATTAGCTGTATATTGATATATAAAATATTAGTACGATACGATAAACATTACGGGATCAGTCTAATGAATGCACCAGTTTGTGGGTCACTACATGTATATGTAAGAAATTATTGGATAAGTATAGGTGTTATGCATGAAATAATATTTTTAATAATGTCATAATATTGAATAAATGAATAAAATATTATGAGATGGACATTACCAGGCTAAGGTAATGATTATACCTATTTTATTTCACTTTCTATGCGTATATAGCAACTGTGGGATATGTAGGCGCAGGGATAAAATATTTTGTTAAGAATTTCTAATATATGGCTGATAAGCTGTATGTTGAATAAATAAATTATGGTAATAGTAAATATATTATGGTAACGGACTGAATTATGGGATAGATGAAGTGATTATACCTGTTTGTGGGTCATTGTATATATAGATATGACGAATTGTGGGATAAATATATTGCACGTGATTATACCTGATTGTTGGTCACTGTATATAATGTATATAAAAATGTAGTGCTTGTAACAGTTTGTGGGTCACTGTATATATGTATAAATGAATTGGGGGATAAATATAGTGATTATACCTGTTTGTGGGTCACTGTATATATGTATATAATGAATTGTGGGATAAATATAGTGATTATACATGTTTGTGGGTCCCTGTATATATGTATATAATGAATTGTGGGATAAATATAGTGAATATACATGTTTGTGGGTCACTGTATATATATGTATATAATGAACTGTGGGATAAATATAGTGATTATACCTGGTTGTGGGTCACGATATAAATATGTCTATAATAAACTTTTGGATATGTAAGCATATACGTAAGATATTGTCTTTAAAATCTCATAATATAAGGTTGATAAGCTCTTTATTGTTTAAATAAATAATTCACGAATGGAAGGTCATTATGTTATAAACGTATAGTGATCATAGCTGTTTGTGGGTCACTATATATATACATGTATATAACGAATTGTGGGACAGGCGATTGCATAAAATATGTAGTGTAGAATCTCATAATATTAGTCTGCTATCCTATATGTTGAATCAATAAAAATACGTTACGGATTGGACATTATGGAATCAATGCAGTGATTATACCTGTATAATTACTTTCAAAAATAAGAATTCAATGCTTAAATGTGGTTCACTATATATATGTATATAAGAAAATCTGGAATAAGTAGGTGTATAGATAAAATATGCCGTTCAATATCTAACATTGCTTAATGAATAAATAAATTATAAATAATACATTGTGGGATGGACATTATTTGATTAATCATCTTTGTCACTATATATATGTGTATGTAAGAGATTGTGGGATATATATATATATATAGAGAGAGGATATCCCTAAAATATCTTGTTCAGAATCTCATAAATCGTATATCGCAGTGAGTCATTAATATGCAATATGACCCCAAAATACTTGAAAAGTAATAGTTAAATTTTATATTGAATCCCCCAAAACTGTTCTTAATGATTCATTCTATTTTGTGCATATGTAAATATACATATATATTATTTATATCAAATATTAATTCTTATGTCTTTCATTGTGAAATCCAGGACATGATATATATAGCATGTGATAATATTGTGGGTCATAATATTTATAAATAGAGCATTGTGCGATGTATATACTTTATCCCACAATGCTCTATATATATGAAAATAATGACCCACAATGATATACAACATTTTTAATCTTATCTCAAAAATTATATTATATATTATATAAGGACCATATATAACGCTTAAATCATGAATATGACATAGCTATTCAATGTAGAAATGCGAGATCCCACAAACCTGTTTAGAAGGTCGGTGCCCACAAACAACCTCATATACCTATATATATATATATATATATATATATATATATATATATATATATATATATATATATATATATATATATATATATATATATATATATATATATATATATTGTTTAAATTAAGCTGTTTAGTCACAAACGATTTATCGCTGATAAAAATTGTTACTAATACAATACTCTGTAGTCACAGTAGGCCTATAGAAAATTACAAGGATACATGTGTTTCCAAACAGAGGCGATTTCGTGTAAAATAATAAAAAAAAAATCGCAATTAAAAATATTTTACAAAGATCTGTGGATGTGTTACACAAATACACACTATTCTAAAATTTTTGTGCAATAATATATTTATGTGACATTTTTATTTTGAACGATAATTTTTTGAGCAGACTTCTACTTTAGACATCCCCCTTTCCCGTCGTGACATGTGGACAAGAGGATTCAAAAAGGCATTTATATTATTTGTTATAGATTTGAAGTTCAGTAATTGATATTTTAGTAATATGCTGCCATACTTTATATAAACAGACAAATTATACAGAGAGAGAGAGAGAGAGAGAGAGAGAGAGAGAGAGAGAGAGAGAGATATTTCGTCTTAGCCCTTCCGCATACATGTATACATGTACATGTACCAGTATCAAGGAAAAATTCCAAAGTTTTATTTTCTAATATATCAAGCAGTGAAAACGCCAATTCTTTATTAATAAATCAATTTGTTTGACAATCATAATCGGGTTTTTTTCCTGCTTCAAGTTCACACGAAGTCCATGTGCTTGTCCTGTCAATCGAAATCATTTGACACTGTGCTGCTGTAAAAGTCTCGTCACGCCCAAGGCAAAGTTCTAGTGTTCCTTAGGAGTTTAAAATAGTTTTTTGATCATTTCTAGATCTGATTCCAAAATTGCTCAATAAATAAATAAATAAATTGGACATAAACACTTGTAATAATTAAGCCAATTCAAATACCACCGTCGGCACGTCTATTTTGAACCACCATTGATTAATGACTATCGTAGATGCATGAACATTTATAAATGTAACAAAAAGCATTGACTTCCTTTTTAATGTGAACTTACTATACCCTTTCACTCCACCTAAAATTGATGTTTTTATTTATTTATTTTTTAGTGTATTACAATTTAAATAAATAATTTGTTAACCACACTATCAATGTACATCGCTCCGTAGATATTTAATCCGTAATAGTATCAATAATTCTCAGATATAGTTGCAACATGTACATGTATTTCTATAGAAACTGAGAAAAAAAGTGTTAAAAATTGATATATTGGTAATTATTCAGCAGTTGGTTAATAAAGCGACCTGGATTATCTTTTCTATCAATGATTTGTGGTCTTTGACATATCAAAATGTTGCAGCGCCGTATCCGTGCGTGTATGCTGCCGTATTTAAATTTTATCTTGTATCATTGTACTAAATGAATATACTTCCAACAACATTTATTTTTAAGATTAATTTGATAAATAATCGACAGTTAAATTAAAAAAATAATAATAAATATTGGAGATATTTTTTTGCAGAAAATAATGATACTTTAAACCAGTAAACCCTGTTTTTTTTTTTTTTGGGGGGGGGGGGATAATTAAAAAAGAAACGAAAGTAGAAAATAACTCAGGAACATAACGGACAAATTTTGAAATTCAGGAAAATATAGTTAAAATATTTCATTCTTCCTTCACAAAGTACTCTGGAAGGGGAAATATGTAAAGTCAGCCGAAGTAGTTCCGTCTGCTAAGTGCAAGCGAACTTCAGATTCTATTGATGCAGTTATCAAAATAATTTTTTATACAATCAGAATCAATTATTTTATAGAAATTAAATGATTACTTCTAGATCAGTTCTCCACACTGACTGATGACAAGGTGTTCGTGCTATTTTGTTTTCTGTGTTCTGACTCCGGTCCTCCTGACTTCACTGACACAGAGTGGCTGGACATGCTTAATAGGATACGACAGAGAGTGTACCGTGAAGAGAATCCTGTAACAAGTGAGGAAGCACAGCAGACTCTGGACAGACTGAAGTCGCTTGAATTTCTTTGGGAGGATCAGGACACGATCACGGAAGACACAAAGGATGAGACAATGTATAGGATAGCATCAAAATACGGTGTTATACCATTCTGGTACAGTAGTTATGTCACAGCCAGTGTGTACCTGAGATCAAATGGATACGAAAGAAAACCTGGAGAGAAGTGTGTTATTAGTCATTACAGTGTTCTTGATTCCTTATTGATACGCCGTCTTCAGATGAACATACTGACTCACGTCACCATGGAGGACACACGTGCATCTATATATGATGAGATAAACCAGATATGTAAGTCATTGTAAAGTAATGTTAATATTTCCGATTTAGAAGACTAATTAAAAATATTTCATTATCTAATCTCTATATACTTCTGGTATTATTAATAATTCGCGAGGCTCACACTGATGTTAAAAACAGTATATGTTTGAAAAAGTATTGAAAAGGAAATGAATTTATAGTCATTTTAATCGACCTCATTCCTACATCTTTTAAATTTATCTAAGTTAAAATATTGAATCTTACACTATTTCATTTTTTTTTTTTTGGACAGTGCTTGTTTCAGATAATATACAAAAGGAAAGTGAAGATAAACGAAAAGAATTTCTAATGGATATAAAGAGAGGAGGGGAGGCTGTACATTACAGAGAAAGATCACAAGACAGTGTAGATCACGTGACATGGCTCTGGCGATACGAGTACTGGCCAAGGCATGACATTGTGAGATCCTGTATAGGCCTCCATCCACACAATGACATTTACATCGTCGACAACAAAGCTTACAGAAAACCAAGTAAGAAGATATATATATATATATATATATATATATATATATATATATATATATATATATATATATATATATATATATATTAGGGATGTCAACGAGTACCCGGTTAACCGGGTACTCGGTCGAACGTCCGAGTATCGAATACTAAAAATGGTACTCGGTTACTCGGATGTGTATTCTTTCGTATTTCAAAGTACATATTTTCATCAAAAACTTACCAAAAATTAACTTAAATATGCATACGGTAATTAGCGTGTCGTTACCTGTAAAACACCCGTTATCGCCTGTGGCTGTGTATATACAGTAATTAGTGACCAATCACCTGGTACACAGCTGTTCTCACCTATTGGGGTCCTTAATTTTTGGATGGCTTCAATGATTGTTTTCAGTGAACATCGTTTCATGGTCTTTTATATTCAAATCGTTTTTAAATTATTTAACTAATATACGGCGGCGAAATCGGACATGCATAGAAATGCCGCCACCCACTTCAAACGTCAAGAAACATTTAGAAATAACTCAAGATTTTAAAAAAAATGTTGAAAGTCTGTTTGCGTAGTTAGTTTAGTATATACAAGGGAAACAATCAACATATGAAATAATATTAGAATAGCAAACCCAACAACGTCCGTTCCTTCCCTTTCGGTAGTGTAATCATTACAAACCTGCGCAACAGATTGTCCTCATTTTGTGTTGATGGAATAGATACTAAACAAGAACTGTAAACCATTTGTAATTTTTGATGTATTGTGTCTTTTGTGTTTATTTGATAAATAAATTTAGTACGAAAAAAATCAGTTCACTTTGACTCAATTGCTTATAAACATTTATAAATGTGATAAAAACAGCTTTGGGGTTTAACAGAGCTTAACTGGGCTCAAGAAAATTAACACACTTGTATTTTCATATTTACCGAGTACCCGGGTACTCGATCGGAAAAAAGTCCGATTAACCGATTATCAAAAATTGACCAATTTGACTTCCCTAATATATATATATATATATATATATATATATATATATATATATATATATATATATATATATATATATATATATATATATATATATATATATATATATATATATTGTATTCTGTTTACTTGAGGCTCATGACGTTAGATACGACTCTTTTAAATGGGTTAATGAGGGATTCTTCTCATAAGAACACTTATTTCTTATTTTTAAAAATCAATGAAATTTTCAAACAATCAAGAAGGCAATATCACTAAGTGATGGTATCAGTTAGATTAAACTTGACCGTTTTATATTTGAGGTAAGGTCAGGTCAAGGTCAGTACCTTTTCCCTGGACTTTAAGAATAAAAAATTACTGTTGCCAATCATGCAATGCCTACTTCTATTTCAATAAATTATTATTATTTTTTTTTTTTGCATAAAAAGATATAACCATAAAGGGTCTATAGGATAATATTACTAAATTGACATAAATAATTTAACTAAGATGGATATTGGCTAATCCGAATTCTCTCTATTTTTCTTAAAATTTTAAGATATTTTAGTTATTTTTTATATGCTTCCTATATTTAAATTTTTCTTATTTTCACATATTGACAAATAAGTTGATGAAACAGGAATATCAGCTGTCTCGTTTAAAGTCATCATTTCGTAAGTTCTATGGTCGATACAATGACCTTGTCAGCAAATACAATTTATCATTGAGTCAAATGCTGACTGACGTTTTTCATACTAATTGTTAGGCCATTATTTACACACTGAATTGTCGACGGATTTTTCCGTTATTTCCCGATCATGACAAGGAGCACACGGCGGGTGTGACCGGTCGGCAGGGGATGCTCACTCCTCCATGGCACCTGATCCCACCTCTGATGTTTGGAGGTCCGTGTTTGCTCTGCTCCTATTTTGTATTGTATAATGGACTTTTGAGCTTGAATACTGTTCGTTATCTCCATATATTTCATGGTAAAGTTGTCACATAAAGATACAAAATGACATAAAAACAAAAAAGTTCGACCGTTTACTAAGAGAGAAAAAACACTTTTTACGGATTTTCGGCTCAAAACTGAACTTTGATTTGAAGCTTTTAAAAGGTAACATAAAAGTAGTTTGTTTGGAAAATCATATCTATTTGATATATTTTAAAACTTTAGTCCCTTATTATTAATTTAACTTACATTTAAAAATTTTCTGCAAGTCTTTGATTGTGTAAAAATTATTACTAAATTCATTGTCCTATAATTATTTTGAGAGGCAGAAAAGAAGATATTTTCATACGCCGCCATTCCGCCAAACATATAGTCCCTACTAGATTTCAAGCTCAGTTTACCACTTCTATTTAAAGTTGTACAATTGTGATGAGGAAAGAAAAATACGATCTTTTAAATCTCTTGAATCCCTCCTTAAGTACATAAGTTCATGCTTAATTTCTCGTCAAAAAGCAGCAGTGTGTGATGTTAAACAGCTTTGTGTTTTGAATGAAATAAATGGGAAAAAAAAAGAAATTATGATCTATATCATCAAAAGGTGAATTCATTCTTAATGCAGGTTAGGAATAACGGTGGCGACATTGCAAATATATATATATATAACCGGCCGCGTAAAGAGGTACGTGGTTTTTATCTGCAATGATTGCAGCTGCTATTACCAGGTTTTTTGAAAAGGGGGTTGCAATGCTGGTCTTGGAGAATTACCCCCCTCCCTTCTACCTAGCCAGATTTTTCTTAAATGAAAAGGTACAATTTGGGTTGGTTATAATATCTGAAAGTCATTTTCAAATATTAAAGAAACAAAATAAAAAAAAACATTTCTTTAGACAGATACCATTTAAGAACTCTTTAAGAACAATGACAGCAGATTCAAAACCGAATATGACAATCGGAAACAATGGATACGATTGTGAATAAATTAAAAAAAAAATATTGTAACTTATTGAGCTTCAATTTCGGGAAAAAAAATTGCTATAAATATTGGTCGTATGTATAGTAGTTGTTTGTTAATAAAATTAAAAAAAAAATTACTGTGTCCTATTGTTGAACTTCAATTTCGGAAAACCCTTCTTCTCTTCTTCTTTTTTTGGCTGTAAATAATGATCGTATATATAGCAGTTGCTATGCGACAGTTACTGAAACAGTTTTACCAATTTAGGAATGACTCTAATTCTTGGCCAGATTATTCGAGTATAACCTGGTTTGGGTCAGTTTACTCTTTATAATCCGCGAAGTCATTCCTTATAAATTAATTTTAAAATCATTAAATAACTAGGGTGTAAAATTTCGTTGCTTTTTATTAATTCAAATTTGTCGCTCAATAATACAACCATAGTAACGGAAGTAACGGAAGTGATGGGAAGCGATGGGAGGTAAAAACTGATACATAGGTCTAGCAGCCGTTTTGTTTATTTACATGTGGTAAGATCGAATTATTCTTTGAAGTTAAGGGTACATTTATTAAATCTGGAATTTCCCATGAATCCCGAGGACTGGAAATGAGAGGATTGTATGGATACAGATGATTCAGCTGATTGTCGGGGGGGGGGGGTCCCATACCAAATCAGGTTATACAGAAATAATTTGTTTTCCTTTTTGGATATTAACCAATCAGAGGCTAGAATACAAACAAAATTAAATTATCATGAAATAGTCTGAAGACGATCCATTGGTGATTTAAAAGTCAAAAATTTTGTTTTCCAGCCACACGGAACGAAAAACGGATATTTGGGACTGTAAAATAGTATGGACCATAGTAGAGTATTTAAATATAATAAAGTTATTCCAATTTTTATGCACAAGTCTTATATCATCATAAATTTGGGTTTTTGAGTTGCTGGTTTGAGCATATTCCATTTCTGAAATAATAAAATAAGCAATTAAGAGATAGCTTACATGATAATGACAATGTTGTCAATATGAGCTCGGTACAGACTGATTTGTCATAAAACAATTCTAATATTAGATATGGGAATGACGCCCGAATACTGATTTTTTTGTATATTCTGATGAAAATGTCACAGTTCATTTCCTAGGGTGAGATATTTTTTTTTATCTTGAAGCGAAGCCAGGATTTTCTTTAATACAGAGGGAAACTGAAATCGCAAGGCTCCCAGCTTCTCTGGTTCAAAACAACACAAAAAATCCATCTCTCGTTTAACTACAATTTTGGTTATATATATTAAGTTAAACACATGAATGTAACACACTTACTTATCTCGTCAAATGAATGCTATAAGTTTGATTCCTGGTGACCCTCTTATGCACGGTTTTATAATTTCTTTTGACAAAAACTTTTGTAAAGGAGTTCATTAATTATCCTATAAAGCAAAATATGCTACAAAATCTAGAATCAAAATAGGTCTACAAAATAAACTAAGGTCAAGAGTTGTCGGAAACGACAGCTATCGATGCATCATGCATAACCCAGCTATCGTAGACTATGTAGATTTTTTGAAGAAAAAGAGAGAATAAAATGAGACTGTTGAGCAAGGTGATTTTAAAAACCTAATTGCTATGTAAAACAAGATGTGTTTGTGAAACAATGATGCCCCCGTATGGTAGCTAATGGCGAGGTTTTTTTTTTTTGTTTGTTTGTTTGTTTGTTTTTTTTTTTTTAATTATTAAAAACATATGCAACATACAACATATTGGACATAGATTATATTATACATTACAATTAGTATTTTTATGACATATCAGAATTATATTACTTCTGCAGAGAGAGAGAAAAAAAAAATAGGCATCATACCTGTCTAATAAACATTCTACTACTTTTACAGCATTTTCTATAATCAAAACAGTGTGTTTTTTTTTCAGCAAACTTTTTTTAAAACACGTATAAATTGATGTAAAAGATATACAATGTATATATTTAGAGAAAAAAAGTATTGAATCCGGGTAGCTAAAGGGGTCTTATTCAACACCAGCACTGTCCATAATGAGGACCCCTTACTAGCTACCACACATGAGGACTGTTTTCCTCATGTGTTGGATATACAATTGTCTACTCCATAATTAGCGTAACATAAGATTTT